GTCTGTGTTGATAAATATTCCTCTGAAAGACTGTTTTTCCAGGCCTTGCTGACTGTGAATGAAAGGAATTCACAGTCGTGCAAATAAAAGGGGTTTTGCCGGGACCAAGACTCTGCTTCCTGCTTTTTAAGGGAGCGGAGGTCAGAATACGTGCGGGAAACATGGGAAAAAACTGTCTTTGGATTCTCTTTCCTGGACGACCCTGAATCCTTCTGCTTTGCAAACTTTGCCGAAGACTTAGATTCCTTTTAAAACCCCTGACATCCTCCATCTCCAAACAAGAGTGTGGCATCTTTTAATACCACAGATGCACAAATCTGAAATTTCTCGCTTTTTGTTATGGATTTTAAATCCACCATGCCGCACTGATGCCATCCCGCTGCTCAGATCCTAATAATGCCTTTTATTCACAATGTTCCCTCAGTCCATTTGCAAAACATCTCCTGCTGTTCTTCTTTTCGGAGGCTACAGTAATAAGAAGGAAGGTAAAGGTAAAGGTTCCCCTCGCACTTATGTGCTAGTCGTTCCGGACTCTAAGGGGCGGTGCTCATCTCCGTTTCAAAGCCGAAGAGCCAGCGCTGTCCGAAGACGTCTCCGTGGTCATGTGGCCGGCATGACTCAACGCCAAAGGCGCACGGAACGCTGTTACCTTCCCACCAAAGGTGGTCCCTATTTTTCTACTTGCATTTTTGATGTGCTTTCAAATTGCTAGGTTGGGCAGAAGCTGGGACAAGTAACGGGCGCTCACCCCGTTACGCGGCACTAGGGATTCGAACCGCTGAACTGCCGACCTTTTGATCGACAAGCTCAGCATCTTAGCCACTGAGCCACCACGTCCCTATCAATAATATATAAATTGGCACATGTCTTTTCGAGGCTCCGCGTTCCTTTTACAAAATCAGCTTCCATTATATCCAAAGATCGGCCTTCCATGAAACAGCCTTTTTATAGGTCATGATTTTTGCTCCCTTGTTGATTGGCTGTTTTGTACGTGTGATCCCTGCTTCCGACATGCCTCAGCCATTGGCTGTGTCAAATTGTCATAATGTTGTTAAGCAGCTGCTAGCGCTTAAAACAGGTGTTAGGAGGAATGGTTGAACTGAGTATAGGGAGGGCCAGAGCAATGCAGAAGGAAGCATAGTATTCATAGACAGCTGAATAAAAAAAAAGAGATTTGGCACGATAAAGTGGCAAACTCCTTTCAGAATTATAGGCTAATAATTTTCCTTGAAGTTCCAAGACTTTTTTTTTTTTTTAAGGTCAATAGTTTGAAATTTTCTACAGTATTTCTTTTGGGAAAGGGGCATCTTTTGCTTTTGAAATCATCTTCTATTTAGACCAGAGAATATAACATATATATATATTTGCAATACAATAGTAGATGATTGCAAACTGAATTGGAGCCAGCAGGGTGGTATGACTTTTTAAGCTGGCACATGCAACGTTTAGGTTGACTCGACAAAAGTGTAATTCATAAATTGTGCAAAGGTACATGTTCCTTTTGACTCCCATCTCTAGTATTTTGTCCAGTTCTGAGCACTTCAGTTTTAAGCATTGCGTTCGGAACAGGCCTTCTCTGAGAGAGACGGGTAGTGCAAAAACGTGAAAAATAAAGAAAGAAAAAAGGTGGAAGGAAATAGTGGTGGGATTCAAATAAATTAACAACTGGTTCTCTGCCCTAATGAATGGATGGGTGGGTGTGGCCATGGTGGGTGTGGCCATGGGGTGTGACAGGCAGCACTCGGCCTCCTGCAACCCCCGGGAGCTAAAACGGCTGCGGGGCCCCTGTTTTCCACCTCCCTGGCCTCCGGAGGCTCTCTGGAGGCTGGAAATAGGCCCATTTTCACCCTCCACGAGCCTTTAGGAGGCCTGTTTTCCACCTCCCCAGACTCCACGCACCCCCTGTACTTACCTGGGATCCAAAATGGGCCGCGTGGGGACTCCTGGGAAGGGTGGGGAAGGGCCAGCCAGTCGTTGGAACTACTGGTTCACAGAACTGGGCTAAAAATTAACACCCGGTTCACTTGAACTGGTCCAAACCGGCTGAATCCCACCTCTGGAAAGAAAGAAAAGAAGAGCAATGAGGATATATTTAGTTACAGTAAAAACCGTTGCACCATCCCCATGGTTATGTGATCAAAATCTGGACGCTTGGCAACAGACTCACATTTATGATGGTTGCAGCGTGTCCCAGAGTCACGAGATCCCCTTTTGCGACCTTCTGACAAGCCAGAATTTACTTATCAACCGTGTTACTACCTTAACAAGTTAGTAACAACTAAGAACCTCAGTAATTCCCTTAACAACTGTGGCAAGAAAGGTTGTCAAATGGGCCAAAACTTGCTGAACCGGTGTCCCACTTAACAACAGAAATTTTGAGCTCACTTGTGGTCGTAAGCCGAGGACTACCTGCAGATGTTTTCATTTGGATTCTCACTGAGCCAAGGGTTTGGCCTTAACAGCCTAACTGAGATCCTCCGACTTTTGTGATTATAGGATTCTGTACTCTAGTTTGGAATCTATTTTATTTTTTTTGGTCCTGGAAAGAGCCTGGTGGCCTCTTTTCTGATTTAACCCATTTCATGATCTCCTCCTACAAAGTCGCCACTGGAATACACCAGCTTTTTATAGACATAATATATGCACACAAGGTTATTTAATTCAGAATATATTTAGTTTGCAAATTAATTCTGGTTAATATTTTAGAACGTTTAATATTTAACCAGTTCTTTTATTTACTTATTTATTTTCATCTCCCCAAATTATTTCGAATGTTGAATAGATATAAGGCAGTGTTGAAAGAAATGTCCATCTGGATTCAGTTCCAAGTGGGAAGAAAAACCCTGGAAACATGGAGGCTGTTTGGAAAGATGGTTTTAATGGTGGACAGGACCACGTGGTTTGAGGTCCTGGGCGAAAAAGCACATGGTTGATATATCCCCAACAGAGGATATATATATATATTTATATCCTCTGTTGGGCTTTGAACGTGCTTCTTGCTCCTGTGTAAGAAATGTATCCTGATGTATCCGTCAGTGCCTGTGCAGATTGTAGCTGATTCGGACAGCGAGGAGGCTGGGGTGGTGCTGCGCCAGCAGCCTGTGCAGTTGGTACTCGAGTCGGACAATGAGGAGGCTGGAGAAGATGTGGTGCCAGAGGCAGGGATTCAGCCAGGGCCTTCAGAACCTCCAGGAGCTCCCATAAGTGAAGAGGATGAAGAGGAGGAGCCTCTTCTCGACGCACGGGCACGCAGAGCTGCCAAAACGCAGGAGTGGCTCCTCAGGAGGAGGTCTCCTCGAGAGTAAGGCTTGGGGATAATTGGCCACTCCCCTAGCCTATTTAAGGAGGAACGCCGACTGAAGCAAGTTGTAGGGAACAACTTAAGTTCATTCTTAGTAAGATTGTGATTACTTTATCTTTGTTTTCTTGTAGGCTATTAAGGAAGCTTATTAACAGCCTTTGTTTGGAAAAGACTGAGTTATTTTAGTAAATTAAGTTTCATACAGACTTTGTGTGTGCTGCGTTCTTTGGGGTCCGTAGCTGGGGCAGAATACCTGACTGGTTGCCAGACTCCCATGCTTGGTTGAATCTTGCTGGGTGATGTAATCTTCCCAGCTGCCATGTGGTGAGATGGGTAGAGGGCTAATCCTATTATATCCTGAGGGTGAAAGTCTTTTGTGTTGTAGATAAGCTGGCCCAGCCTTTTATCTTGTAAATAAAAGTATCTGCTGGGGGCAGGGAGCTGGGTTTCTGAGTTTCTCTCTTAAGATTTCTATTTCTCTCTTAGGGGAAATATTCTGCCTTTTTAATATTTCCTAGAATATTTCATTTTTCTAGGAGAGGGGTGAGTGCTAACTTCTTACAGCAGCAACAGATTAAGTATTCCAAGATTGTGCTTGAGATCAGCCCATGTTGGAAAGAATGAGGAAAATAAAATAGGGGGACTATTAGACTGATTGGGATTGTGCTGTGGGCTATTCAAATTATTAGATTCAATTTATTAGATTTAAAATGGGGTAGCAAGCGAAGGAGTTTTTTTTTTTTTCTTGGTTGTTCTGGGTTTCAACTGCCATTATATATCCCAAAAAACTAGTTTGCATTTCCTCAATTTTTACATAGAGTTTTAGTGCCTCTGAAATTGGCAAGAGCAAAATTTAGAAAATGCATCTCACGTTCTTTGAAGCTTCTGTGTAAGGCATGGAAAAAAAATGCACTTAATCATTTATCCTTCCATGAATTCTGAATATCCTCAGAGGCTGCTTTTAATGTCCCCATGACTTGAAACCTCAGCTCTAGCAATATTCTTACGATTTGTAAAGCCCAAATGTACAAGCAGCGGATGGAAACTAATCAAGGAGAGAAGCAAGAACTAAGGAGAAATTTCCTGACAGTTAGAACAATTAATCAGTGGAACTACTTGCCACCAGAAGCTTTGAATGCTCCAACACTGGAAGTTTTTAAGACGATATTAGATACCCATTTGTCTGAAGTGGTGTAGGGTTTCCTGCCTGGGCAGGGGTTGGACTAGAAGACCTCCAAGGCCCCTTCCAGCTCTGTTATTCTATTCTATTCTATTCTATTCTATTCTATTCTATTCTATTCTATTCTATTCTATTCTATTCTATTCACATTGGCTCACCTTTTTACCATGTCCTATTCCAGTTGATGAATATACGCTGACATAAAGACAGACAGACAAAAATTATGATAGATAGATAGATAGATAGATAGATAGATAGATAGATAGATAGATAGATAGATGGATGATAGACAAATAGACAGACAGATAGACAGACAGACAGACAGATAGGAGAAGAGAGAAAGGAAGGGAGGGGAGGGGAGAGGAGAGGAGAAGAGAGAGAGTATTTTATTTTGTTTAATAACGCTATAAAATATAGCAGGCTCTCTAATATTGCTGTGAAAGAGGAATTCCAGGCTTCTTGTTAAAATCATCTTTCTAACCCCTGGCTTTAATCTGCTTCTTTTTAACCATCTTCTAGGTGAAACCATGAGAATCGCTTCCTCGGAATTTGCTGACGATCCTTGTTCCTCCGTCAAGCGGGGCACGATGGTCCGGGCTGCTCGAGCTCTGCTTTCTGCTGTCACTCGCTTGCTCATCCTGGCGGACATGGCAGATGTCATGAGGCTTTTATCTCACCTGAAAATTGTAAGACTTCCAATGAGTCCACGTTATCTCATTTTATGAGGTCATCCGGGTGGGGGTGCAGGAGAGAATGGACGTACGATGTGGGATGCTACATAAAACGTCGAGAAAAATCCACTTCTCACTAATCCATAGAACTGTGATGGTGAACCTATGGCACGTGTGCCAGAGGTGGCATGTAGCACTCTCTCTGTGGGCACGCGAGCCATGGCCAGTTCAGCTCCCCTGCACATGTGCGTGCACCTCTGGCCGGCCGGCTGGTCTTCAGATCTCTGTTGTGCATGTGTGAGAGGAGGGGGGCATCACGTACGCATACTCAGGGCACATGCGAGGGCCACAGGTACATTCGGGGCTCTGTGTGTGCATGTGTGGGGGGCATGGTGCATCCAGGGGGCCACGTACGTATGCATGGGGGTGGGGTGCATGCTCGGGGGTGGGACACATGCACGGGGGCCGCACACCCATTGCATTTTGGGGTTCGGGCATGCGTGCACATTTCGGTGTGCTCATGCGCGCTTTGGGCACTCGGTCTGGAAAAGGTTAGCCATCACTGGCATAGAAGATGCTTTGAATTACCTGGGTGAATTTGAACTCAGATGCTGAGCAGGGCCAGAGTTGATTTGTGTTTGGAGGGGAGACATCCCATGACTCTTAGCTAGAAAAGGCATTAGCTAAACATTGTGGAAGAAGGCAATTTAAGGCACTTAGAGGCTGCTCTCACTTAATAGCCACAATTAAGCCTGGGATTTTGGTCGTAAGTTATTGCAGTCATTATGCGAGTCAAGACATGACCTGGCTGGATTTTACGACTCTTTTTATGATAGTCATAAAACTATGTAGGAGCTGAGCAGGCTGAGTCTGAGGGAGGGGTCAAATGCATCATCAGCCTCGAGTCCCTTCACCCCCGCAAGAGATTTAAGTCCAGCGCACCTTGAATTCCTTTGGCTCTTATCTACCCCCAATTTGCCTTGACTGTTAGTAGTTCAGATTCTTGTAGAGAGTGTTAGCATGCAATAAATCTTTATCCTTATTTGAACCTGAATCTCCACGGCGCTTGACAAGCGAGTCGCCATGACTGTTAAGCGAATTATGCTTCAGCAAACCATGTGGTCATTAAGCAAACCCATGCTCCTGAATGGGCATTTATTTCCCACAAACTGGCAAAAAAATTCTGGAAATTGACAAAAGCTGTCACAAATGTGGGACACTGCAACTGATCATTGAATGTAAGCGGGGTGGCAAGTTCCCCAGATGCAGCCATCATGACTTGGAGCATGAATTGTATGTGACTCACACAGAGTCGTTGGCAGGGGGTGGGATTGCACCATGGTGGGGAGGGGGGTGTTTTTGCCCCCCCCTCCAGGCTACCAGTTCGGACTCTTGCACTACAGCAGGGGGGGGCTTTTTCGCCCTCCCTAGGCTCCAGAGGCTTTCCTCAAGCCTCCGGGAAAGTGAAAACGGCCTCCCCTGGGCTCCAGAGGCCCTCCGGAGGCTGGAAACGGGCCCATTTCTGTACTTCCTGTAGGCCCGTTTTTCACCTTCCCAGAGCCTCCGTGCGGGCCTTGCACTTACCTTGCATCCAAAACGGGCTGCATGGAGTCTCCTAGGAGGGGAGGACCAGAGTGGGTGGAGCCAACTAGTCCTCGCAACTACTGATTCAGTGAACTGGACGTAAAATTAGCATCCAGTTCACCGCAACTGTTCCGAACCGGCTGAATCCCATCCCTAGTCGTTGGATACGAGATGGGCAGAAAATAAAATTGATAAATAATAAACAATAATCATGTTTGGGGTGTCCATTGTAACTTTGGAACGTCGCTAAGTGACCGGTCATTAAGCAAGAACTGTCTGTCTGTATACCATAAAAAAAAAAAACAATTGTGGGGCAGCAAACGGTCATTTGTTCTCAGAGAGAAAAATGCAAGAACTGAATGCAATGACAACTTGTGAGAAGATGGCTTATCTCCATTAATATTCAAGCTAATACACAGTCCTCACATCTAAGAATCTTATCTTCTGTGAATTTGTCTAATTCTTCCCAGAGTCCCTCATGCGGGCAGTTACTGCCACATCTTATGATAGTGAATTTCGTGCTTCAGTGACAATATGTACCTTGTTTCCCCGAAAATAAGACATCCCCTGATAATAAGCCCAATCGGGCTTTTGAGCACATGCGCTAAAATAAGCCTCTCTCCGAAAATAAGCCCTCCCCCAAAATATTTAAATGCAGAGCTGGAAATCAGGTAAGATGGCAAGAAGAGCCCCATTCTTGCTCCACGTGCCCCAAAATATTAAGACCTCCCCAAAAATAAGGCCCAGCCCTTATTTTGGGGTTCAAAAAAAATATAAGACAGGGTCTTATTTTCGAGGAAACACGGTAGGTATTTTCTGAAGATCTTCGAGGTCCCTTCCACCCCTGTGATTTTATTTTGATGGCTTTATTTTACCTTGTGGCCCATGCTGCTTCCTTTTTTTCAAGGTATAAATACTGTAGTTTGATGGAAGAAAGAAAATGTGATTGTCTTTTTCTAAAACCGTTGATTAGATTTGGGTTTGTAAATCTGGCTGGGGAATTCTGAGAGTTGAAGTCCATCCGTCTTAAAATTGCTAAGGTTAAGAAACTACCGGACTAGCAATTCATCAAAAATATATAAAGTCTACGACAACGGAGGCTGCTGTCTTGTATTGGATTTTTACTGTTTTTTTTTTTTAAAAAATAACATTTTCAATGGTCTGCCACAAAAATTATTGAGAGATTCCTGATTTCTAGTATAGCATTTTAATGGCATTCTAACAGATGAGCATTTTTAACAGGTCAGTGTTTTTGGTTTTGGATTTGGATTGCAATAAGTGCATTTGTAAATTTGTAGTTATTGCCGAGAATAACATTTTTATCTCTTACTTGGTTAGCATTGTAACTTCTCTATTCCTATTATTTTAATGTTGTGTTGTTTGTATTTTTATATACCCATTTTTTTACTGTTTTCCTTTTTATGAGTCTCTCTCTGTGTTTATAACCTCTGATATGAAATTGTACAATGTATTAGTCAGTGAGCATAGTAAAAGCTTTTATTTGATATTAGGGCTCTGCATACCTCCAAAATAATTTGGAAGAAGTGCTTCAGAATGCACAGGGGCTCAAGTGCTGTAGCTTTTTAAAGCCGCTGTGTCTTTTTGGAGGCTTTTGTGTGAACTCAAACACACATGCAACACTTTTAAAGAACTGTGTTTTTTTTTCTGAGCGTTCTAAAGCACTGTTTAAGAATCCTTCTTAATCTCCAAGAGGAGGGTTTTTTTGGCGCTATATGTATAAAAACAATCTCCGGCTTATCGTGCGACAGCATCTGCCGATGAAAATGTATGGATTAGCCGTGTTAAGCTCCGCATGGGAGTTGAATTTTAAAAAAAAGCAAGAGAGTAAAATTGCTAACGTCTTCTACAGGTAGTCCTCAACTTACAACAGTTCATTCAGTGACCGTTTGAAGTTACAACAGCACTGAAAAAAGTGACCTACGACCATTTTTTTCACACTTACAACCGTTGCGGCATCCATACAGTCACCTGATCAAAATCCAGACGCTTGGCAACTGACTCCTAGTTATGACCGTTGCACTGTCCTTCAGTCATTTTGCGACAAGCAAAGTCCAAGGGGAAGCCAGATTCACTGAACAACCATATTACCAGTTTAACAACTGCAGTGATTCACTTAACAATTGTGTCAAGAAAGCTCGTAAAACGGAGCAAAACTCACTTAACAAATGTCAGAAATTGTGGGCTCAATTGTGGTCGTACGTCGAGGACTACCTGTATTCATGATGGTTCCATTTTATCTCCAGGTTGCAGCCTTCAAATACCCGTCCTCGGTTGGAAAGAGCCGGTCTCATTTCTTCTTCTGTTCTTCCCAGATGTTGGTTCTTTACCTGTACAGGTGATCCTCGACTTACGACCACAATTGAGCCCCAGGTTTACGTTGTTAAGTGAGACATTTGCTGAGTGAGTTTTGCCCCATTTTAACCACCTGCGTCGCCACAGCTGTTAAGTGAATCATTGTTCAATTAGTAATACGGTTGTTCAGTGAATCCAGCTTCCCCACTGACGTTGCTTGTCAGTAGGTCGCAAAAAGGGATCATGTGACCCACCCCCGGGACAATGCAACCGTCATAAGTACGAACCAGTTGCCAAGGTTCTGAATTTTGATCACATGAGCATGGGGAATGCTACATAGGTCGTAAGTGTGAGAAACGGCCCTAAGTCACTTCGTTCGGTGCCATTGCAACTTTGAACGGTCACTAAATGAAGCGCTGTAAGTCGAGGACTACCCGTACATCAAAACGAAAAGCAAGCTGAGTTGTAGCAGGCGCGAGCATGACACTTTTTGACAAGTTTTTGTGACCTACAATATAGGGAGCTGTACATGATCGCCCTCTTGTGGCGGACACAAGCCATGGACTCGGTCACAGTAAGGAAGGAAACCCATCCCAATGCCAGGATTTTGATACCGTCACAGCTGGGAATAGTGATCGCTTAATGATTCATCCAAGAAGGGGACAAAACAAAATCCCCTCCTCCCCGAAGACTTACAGAGCAGCAAAGTGATTTATTGTGTAAGGTTGTGTGTTTGGTTTGCCCTGCCTGCAAGAGGCAAATAAACAAATGGATAAATAAATCCGTAACAAAACAATTTGCAATTGGGATTAATCCATGTAATAATTGATTTGCCCACGTATTGTTTTCGGTTGGTTGTTGCTAAGCGGCGATGGGGGTGGGGGTGGATGGAGGAGGTGCCCTTTCGCCTTTATCTTCATCACATCCCCACTTCAGCCCTCTTCTTCCTTTCCCCCCCTCTGTCTTTTCCCCATAGAAAGGTAATAGCTATGAACTTTACTGCTTGAATGAATGATGCCCGGCTGGAATTGAGATCTATGAAGGCCAGTTTTGGAATCTCCTGGACCGAGGGCAGGGGTCCCCACTTAACAGCCGGGCTACGAAATTAACAAGTGCAG